CCCCCAGAACACCAAACAGACAAGACCAAAATAGATCTACCCCACGGCATATTATCAATAAAACAAAAACAGAGACCCGAGGAAGAATACTGAAGGCTGTAAGAGAGAAAAAACAAGTAACATACAAAGGTAAACCCATCAAAATCATAGCAGACTTCTCAACAGAAACATTAAAAGCAAGAAGAGCTTGGGGTGAGATCTTCCGGGAACTGAATGAAAATAACTTCAACCCCAGGATACTCTACCCAGCAAAACTATCATTCAAAATAGATGGAGCAATAAGACTTCCATGATAAGCACAAACTAAAACAATATGTGACCACAAAGCCACCACTACAAAAGATTCTTCAAGGGATTCTGCTCACAGAACGTGAAACCCAACATAACCATGAAAGCGCAGGCAGCAACAAACTACAGGAAAAGAAAAAGCAAGAAAGTAGAGAATAACCTCAACTTTCATACACATAATCAAACCTTCAAACAACTAAGACAACTAAATGACAGGAATCACCACATACCTATCCGTACTAACACTTAATATAAATGGACGTAACACCCCCATCAAAAGGCACCGTTTGATGAACAGGATTAAAAAGGAAGACCCAACAATTTGTTGCTTACAGGAGACCCATCTCAACGACAGAAATAAGCATAGGCTTAGGATAAAAGGCTGGAAGAAGATTTACCAAGCCAATGGCCCCTGAAAACAGGCAGGAGTAGCAATACTTATCTATGACAAAGTAGACTTCAAACGCACATTGATCAAACAAGATAAAGAAGGACATTCCATACTAATAAAAGGGGAAACAGACCAAAAGGAAATAACAATTATTAATCTATATGTACCCAATGTCAACGCACCCAATTTCATCAAACATACCCTGAAGGACCTAAAAGCATATATTAACTACAACAAAGTAGTCCTGGAAGACATTAACACACCATTATCATCATAGATAGGTCATCCAAACATGAAATTAATAAAGAAATTCTAGATCTAAAATATACCATAGACCAAATGGACCTGGCTGATGTCGACAGAACATTCCATCCAACTTCTACACAATATACATTCTTCTCAGCAGCCCACACAGAACTTTCTCCAAAATAGATCATATCCTAGGGCACAAAGCAAGCCTCAGCAAATATAAGAAAACAGAAAAGATACCATGCATTCTATCTGATCACAATGCAATAAAACTAGAACTCAACAACAAAAATAAAGACAAAAAACATGCGAACAGCTGGAAACTGAATAACTCATTGCTTAATGAACAATGGGTCATTGATGAAATAAAAGAAGAAATTAAAAAGTTCCTGGAAGTCAATGAAAATGAAAATACAACCTACCAGAACCTATGGGACATAGCAAAGGCAGTGCTGAGAGGAAAGTTTATAGCCATGACTGCATATATTAAAAAGACTGAAAGATCCCAAATCAATGACCTAATGATACATCTCAAAATAAGAACAAGCAAATCCCAAAACAAACAGAAGGAGAGAAATAATAAAAATAAGAGCTGAAATCAATGAAATAGAAACCAAAAGAACCATACAAAGAATTAATGAAACAAAAAGTTGGTTCTTTGAAAAATAAGCAAGATCGATAGACCCCTGGCAAACCTGACTAAAATGGGGAGAGAAAAAACCCAAATCAGTAAAATCAGGAATGCAAAAGGGGAGATAACAACAAACACCATGGAAGTTCAGGAAATCATCAGACTACTGTGAGAACCTATATTCAAATAAATTCGAAAATCTTAAAAGAAATCGACAGATTTCTAGATACACATGATCATCCAAAACTGAACTAACAGGACATTAATTACCTGATTGTATCTATAACACAAAATGAAATTGAAGCAGCAATCAAGAGTCTCCCTAAAAAGAAAAGCCCAGGACCTGATGGATTCTCTGCTGAATTCCATCAGACCTTTAAAGAAGAACCGATGCCAACCCTCCTTAAACTGTTCCATGAAATAGAAAGGGAAGGAAAACTGCCTAACACATTTTATGAAGCCAGTATTACACTTATCCCAAAACCAGGCAAAGACCCCCCTCCAAAAAGGAGAACTATAGGCCAATCTCCTAATGAACAAAAATCCTCAATAAAATAATGCCAAACTGAATTCAACAACACATCAAAAAGATCATTCACCACAACCAAGTAGGCTTCATCCCAGGAATGCAGGGGTGGTTCAACATATGAAAATCAATAAACGTAATAAACCACATTAGCAGAAGCAAAGACAAAAACCACTTGATGATCTCAATAGATGCAGAAAAAGCCTTTGATAAGATCCACCACCATATTATGATAAAAGCTCTAAAAAAACTAGGAATAGAAAGAAAGTATCTCAACATTATAAAAGCTATATATGACAAACCTACAGACAGCATTATACTTAACTGTTGAAAAACTGAAACCATTCCCTCTAAAATCAGGAACCAGACAAGGATGCCCACTATCTCCACTCCTATTCAACATCGTACTGGAATTCCTAGCCAGAGCAATTAGGCAAGAAGAAGGAATAAAAGGAATACAAATAGGTAAAGAAACTGTCAAAATATCCCTATTTGCAGATGACATGATCCTATACCTTAAAGACCCAAAAAACTCTACTCAGAAGCTCCTAACACATCAACAGCTATAGCAAGGTAGCAGGATATAAAATCAACATAGAAAAATCATTAGCATTTCTATACACTAATAATGAAGCAAACTGAGAAAAATATTATGAAACAATTCCATTTACAATAGCCTCAAAAAAAATCAAATACCTAGTGTAAACCTAACAAAAGATGTGAAAACCTCTACAAGGAAAACTATAACTTCTGAAGAAAGAGATTGAGGAAGACTATAGAAAGTGGAGAGATCTCCCATGCTCATGGATTGGTAGAATCAACATAGTAAAAATGTCTATACTCCCAAAAGTAATCTACATGTTTAATGCAATTCCCATCAAAATTCCCAATGACATTCATTAAAGAGATTGAAAAATCTACGTTAAATTTATATGGAAACACAAGAGGCCAAATAGCCAAGGCAATACTCAGTCAAAAGAACAATGCAGGAGGTATCACAATACCTGACTTCAAACTATATTACAAAGCAATAACAATAAAAACAGCATGGTACTGGCACAAAAACAGACATGAAGACCAGTGGAACAGAATAGAGGACCCAGATATGAAGCCACACAACTATAACCAACTTATCTTTGACAAAGGATTTAAAAATATATGATGGAGAAAAGACAGCCTCTTCAACAAAAACTGCTGGGAAAACTGGTTAGCAGTCTGCAAAAAACTGAAACTAGATCCATGTTATCACCCTATACCATATTAACTCAAAATGGATCAAGGATCTTAATATCAGACCACAAACTCTTAAAGTTGTACAGGAAAGAGTAGGAAATACTCTGGAACTAATAGGTATAGGCTAAGAACTTTCTCAATGGAACCCCAGCAGCACAGCAACTAAGAGATAGCATAGATAAATGGGACTCATAAAACTAAAAAGCTTCTGCTCAACAAAAGAAATGGTCTCTAAACTGAAGAGAACACCACAGAGTGGGAGAAATATTTGCCAGCTATACATCAGAGAAAGGACTGATAACAAGAATATACAGGGAACTCAAAAAACTAAATTCGTCCAAAATTAATGAAACAATAAAGAAATGGGCAAGTGAACTAAACAGAACATTCTCAAAAGAAGAAATTCAAATGGCCAAAAAACATATAAAAGAATGCTCACCATACTAGCAATAATGGAAATACAAATTAAAACCACAGTAAGATTCTACCTCACCCCTGTTAGGATAGCCATCATTAGCAACACCACTAACAACAGGTGTTGGCGAGGATGTGGGGGAAAAAGGAACCCTCTTACACTGCTGGTGGGAATGTAAGCTAGTACAACCACTCTGGAAAAACATTTGGAGGCTTCTTAAAAATCTAAACATAGATCTACCATATGATCCAGCAATACCACTCTTGGGGATATAACCAAAAGAATGTGACTCAGGTTACTCCAGAGACATCTGCACACCCATGTTTACTGCAGCACTATGCACAATAGCCAAGTTATGGAAACAGCCAAGGTGCCCCACTACTGACAAATGGATTAAGAAAATGTGGTATTTATACACAACAGAATTTTATGCAGCCATGAAGAATAATGAAATGTTATCATTCACTGGTAAATGTATGGAACTGGAGAACTTTATTCTGAGTGAGGTAAGCCTGGCCCAAAAGACCAAAAATCGTATGTTTCCCCTCATATGCGGACATTAGATCAAGGGCAAAGATAATAAGGGAATTGGACTTTGATCACATGATAAAGCAAGAGCACACATGGGGGATATGAGGATAGGTAAGACACCCAAAAAACTAGGTAGCATTTGTTGCCCTCAATGCAGAGAAACTAAAGCAGATACCTTAAAAGCAACTGAGGCCAATAAGAGAAGGGGACCAGGAACTAGAGAAAAGGTTAGTTAGAGAAGAATTAACTTAGAAGGTAACACACATGTACAGGAAAGCAATGTGAGTCAACTCCCTGTATAGCTATCCTTATCTCAACTAGCAAAAACTCTTGGTCCTTCCTATTACTGCTTATACTCTCTCTTCAACAAAATTCGAGACAAGGGCAAAATAGTTTCTGCCTAGTAGGAGGGGTTAGGGGGGTTGGCGGGGGTAAGGGAGGAGGTGGAGGAAAGGGGGTTGAAATGACCCAAACAGTGTATGCACATATGAATTTAAAAAAAAAAAAGTTAAGTGGTGGCTATTCTGATAAACTAGGAACCTGATAGATTTCCTGATTCTTATATTCCACTTTTCAGTACCTCTTCTCTGTATCCCCAAAAAAGTGCTGATCTTATAGTAGGGGAGAGGAAACATAGATACATTGAACATTGTTAAAAGAAAAATAAGAGGGTGGTTTCCAGTTTAAAATGGAACATTAATGTCTTTAAAAAAATGAACCAAGACAAAGGACTTACTTGCTCTTCTCTTTTCTGCTTCCGCAACTGCAGTCCTTCTTCCTCCCTCCTTCTGCGCATCTCATCAGGATTCAGAGATTTGTTTTTGTAACTTTTTAGACGAAAGTTCTCTTTTCCTGGGGTAGTCATGATTTCTACAAAAGTAGAGAGACCAGATGAGCTTACTTTAAAGAGCTCTATTACTCTATGAGCTAAGCCTTAAACACATATAGGTTCAGACTCACCCAATAAGGACACCAGAAATGGTTGTTTTATTAAAATGTACAATTTGACAGTTTTTCTATATTCATGTATAAGTGGCAACCATCATCACAGTAAATTTTAGAGCATTTTCTTCACCTTAAAAAGAAATCCTGTATTGTTAAGCTATCATTCTTATTCTAGACATTTCCTATAAACAGAATCATTTAAGGTGCAATCTTTTGTGACTGGGTCCTTTTGCTTAAAATAATGTTTTCAGTCTTTCATTCCCTTTTATGGCTGAATAGTATTTCATTCTATGTGTGTACTCAATTACATTTCTCCCTTCATCAGCCAGTGGACATTTGGGATACTTCTACCTTTTGGCTATTACAAACAATGCTTCCACAAAGACTTGTGTACCAAGTTTTTGTTGTAGATATGTTTTCATTTCTCTTGCATATATAGCTAGAGGTAAATTGCTGAGTCATGGTAACTATTATGCTTAATCACCTAAGGAACTACCCAACTGTTCTTCCAAAGTGGCTTTACCATTCTGTATCCCACTAGCAGCATAAGGGATGCAATTTCTCTCCACCCTTGCCAACACTTTGCTATTACGACTTTTTTATTTGAACCATCATAGTGGTATCTCATTGTGGATTTGATTTTTAATCCTTTGTGGGGGGACAGTACTAGTACTTGAGGGATGCTGCTAGCCCTTTTCACTTAGTTATTTTTGTAATATCGGTCTTATGTTTATGCCAAAGACTAATATGGACTACAATCCTATTTATGCTCCCTATATAGGTGGGATGACAGTAGAGCACCACCACACCACAAATTTATTGTTCAGTCTGGTCCCCGAAAGCAATATTCCCAATCTCCACCTCCCAAGTAGTTGTAGGACTGCAAGCATGAACCACAGTGCCTGGCTGTAATCCCTTGATGACTGTCTTTTCTGTGATCTCCCATTAAATTTAAAAAAAAAAGGCTATTTAGTCTATTTTTAAATTGGGTTATCTTTTATTACTGAGCTGTAAGAGGTCTTTCTACATTCTAAGAAAACTCTTATTACCATCTACATGATTTTCAATTATGTTCTCCCATTCTTTATGCTACCTTTCTGTTTTCTTGATGGTGTAACCCTTCAGAGCACAAAAGCTTTTAATTTTGATGAAGTCCAAATTAATCTACTTTTTCTTTTCTTATTCATACTTTTGGTGCCTTATCTAGACTTCTTAACCTTATATTTCCTTCTAAGACTATCTTCTGTCCTCTGAATGGTCTTTGCAACTGCTATAGACTGAACAATTGTGTCTGCACACAATTTTTATGTGAAATCCTAACACCCTATATGATGGTGTTTGAAGATGGGTACAGTGTTATCAGGTCATGATGACAGAGCCCTTATGAAAGGGATTAGTGCTTTCATAAAAGAAGTCCAGTCAGATGTGGTGGTACATGCCCTTAATCCAAGCACAAGGTAGCCAAGGCAAGAGATCCAAGTTCAAGACCAGCCTGGGTTGCATAGAATATTCTAGGGAAGCCTGAACTCACGGCAAGACCCATCTCAAAAAAGAAAAAAGTAGGAGACAAAACAATTTCCGTGTCCCTTCTGTCATGCAAAAAGGCAGCCGTCTATGAACCAGGAAGCAGGCTCTCACCAAAGGTTCTTAGACTTCCCAACCTCCAGAACTATAATAAATTTCTGATTGTTAACTATTGAGTCTCTAGTATTTATTATAGATGCCTGAACAGACTGCAATAGCACTCTTGTTGATAACCAGTTTTGTGTATGTATGTGTGTATGAATAAGAGATTTAGTTCTTGGCTCTCAATTAATTTTATTCCATTGGCCTGTATGTATATCATTCTGCCAATTCCACAGTCTTGATTATCACTGTCTTGCAATACGTTTTGGAATGAGGAAGTACCAGTTTTCTACTTAAGTTCCTTTACAAGACTGTTTTAGCTATTATGGACCTGTTACAATTCCACATCAATTTTACATTCAGTTTGTCAATTTCTACAAAGAAGTAAGCTGGGATTCTGATAGTGATTACATTGACTCTACAGATCACTCTGGGGAATGCTACCACCTTAACAATATTCAGCCTTCAAATTTATTTAAATGGGATAGTTTTCTATTAAGATCTTTAATTTTTTTCAACAATGTTTATGAAATTTTCAGGGTATACATTTTGCACTTCTAATGTTAAGTGTATTCCTAAATATTCTCTTTTTTTTTTGTACTGGTAAATGGAATTTTCATAGTTTCATTTTTAGATTGTTCATCATAAGCCAGCAGAAATACAACTGATTCTTGTATATTCATCTTATATCTTACAATCCTGCTAAACTGTGTTAATACTTTTTCAGTGAACATATAAGATCATGTTATGTGTGAACAGATAGGTTTACTTCTTACTTTCTAATTTTGATGGTGCTTTTTATTTATTTATTTATTTTTCTTGCTTAACTTCCCTGACTAAAACAGAGTGGAAAGCAGACATCTCTTATTCTGGATCATTACAGGGAAAGCAACCAGTCTTTAGCATTAAGTGTGATGTTACTTCAAGGTTTTTGTAGATGTTATTTATCATATTGAGAAACTCTTCCTATTGCTAGCAGTTGAGTGTTTATATCACTAAAAGGTGTTGGATTTTGTCAAATGATTTTGTTTGTTCAGATGTAATTTTTGTATTATATTTTATTGATAGTGTATTAACTGGTTTTGGACTTTAAACCAATCTTGCGCTTCTGGGGAAAATCTCACTTGGTCATGAAGTACATATCTTTTTATATGCTGCTCAATCTATTAGTTTGTTAGTCTGTTGAAGATTTTTATGTTCATAATTATGGTACAGGTCTGTATTTTTCTGGTGATGCCTTTGCATCAGAGTAATACAGGCTTTGTGAAGTGAGCTGGGAAGTGTTCCCCCATTCTCTACTTTTTGGAAGATTTTGTGAAGAATTAGTATTAATTCTTTAAATGTCTTGTAGAATTCAGCAGGAAAGCCAGACGGACCTAAGCTTCTCTTTGTGAGCAGTTTTGTGACTACTAATTCAATGTCTTCATATCTTACAGGTCTATTCAGATTGCTTATTCCCCTTTGAGTTAATTTTGATAGTTCCTGACTTTCAAAATATTTGTCCATCTCATTCAACTAGGTAATTAAATCTACTGGAATACAACTGTTCATAGTATTTCCTCATAACTCATTTAATTTTTTGTAAGGAAACAAGTAATGTGTTCTCCCTCATTTTGATTTGAATACAATAGCTCCCTCTTACCCAGAGTTTTTTTTAATGTCAGTAACAAACTTTATTTAGCCTGTGTTACAAAATATGTCAATATGTAGACAAATTACTAACATTTTTATATTCTTTGCATACTAACTCTATTTCAGAGTCTATTTTACTCTTACAGCACATGTCTATTCACCCTGGCAACATTTCAAGTGCTCAATAGCTAGTTCATGCTTGTGGCTACCATACTGGAAATCACAACTTCATAATTCTAGGAGAAATTTTGATGAAATACAGAGACCACTGAATTGAAATCAAACCTATTGCCAAATTCTGCCTTTGTCATTTATATATGAGCCTGGGTAATTTACTCATTCTCTCTGGTCTTTAGTTTCTTCACGTGACAAAGTTTTGCAAGAATTAGGCTTCGGTTTATTACATAACTTCTGACACAGTGTTCATTTGTTTTTAAAACAAGAGAACCTAACCCACGTTTTGTTAATGTGTTGCACAATACCTAGAATTTAGACTTTGAATATTATAGCCTCTGAGCAAAGAAGATACTATGCTAATTATTTCCTAGGTTCTAGGAATTTTAGATAGAAGCTGAACTTTAGGAAAGATGGTCCACAATGTAAACACATAAATATTTATTTATAACGTATTTACAATATAGATTAAATGCCACTTAATAATGTCATATAAGCTAAAAAGCTGTCCTACAGCAGAGGAGTTATTAATACCTGGGAATATAAGGGTAGATTTCATAAAGATGTTGCTTCTGCCAAACGTGTATCATAAACAAAATGGTGGAAGGGATCATATGACAAAGAAAACACTTAGAATCCTGTGTCTATACTATAATATTGTGTTTTAAATATGAATAGTGTTTATGTGGGTTGGCTGGGGGAAGGACCAAAGGAAAGCATTGTGACTTATTATTAATGTCCATAACACTCCTGATATCCTGTCCCAGGGCTAAACAAGTGTCTCTACTGTATCCTGACTTAAAGTTCTTTTGGGTATATGCCCAGGAGTGGTATCACTGGATTATACGGCAGTTCTAACTTTAGCTTTTTGAGGAATCTCATACTGCTTTCCACAATGATTGTACTAATTTGCATTCCCACCATCAGTGTGTAAGTGTTCCTGTTTCGCTGCATCCTTGCCGGCATTTGTTGTTGTAATTGCCCTTGAAAATGGCCGTTCTAACTGGGGTGAGATGATCTCACTGTAGTTTTGATTTGCATCTCTTTTTTAACCAGGAAAGTTGAACATTTCATGTATTTACTGGCCATTTGTACCACTTCCTTTGAAAGGTCCCAGTTTAATTCAAGTGCCCATTTCTTCATTGGGATGTTGATCCTTTGGGGGTTGAGTTTTTTGAATATTTAGATTCTGAATATTAGCCCCTTATCAGATGAATGACTGGCAAAGATTTTCCCCCATTCAGTGGGCTGTCGCCTGAGTCTAGTTATGATCTTTTGCTGTGCACAGCTCTTTAGTTTGATGCAGTCCCATTTGTTCATTCTTTCTCGTAGATGCTGAGCCATTTTTAGTTATACTTAGGAAGTCATTTCCTATACCTGTATGTTCCAGTCTATTTCCTACTACTTCCTGGAGTTGTTTTAGTTTCAGGCTTTATATTAACATTTGATCCATTTTGAGTTGATTTTGGTACAGGGTGAAAAACGGATATAGT